TCCTCCTTCGTGTTTACAGAATGTAATCTCCGGCGGAAAGTCACAGAAAGCAAACAGAGCTGGACACCCCCGTAACCTTCATGAAAGTCGATGAACCCAACAAACTTGTGAATGAAAAGTGACTTACTCTATTTCACGAAGATTAATGTGAACCTAGCCAATGATATAATAATATGCAATCCATAAATAAGGTCTCTCTCACCTGTTCCTTCTTCTTCTTCTTCTTCTTCTTCTTCTTCTTCTTCTTCTTCTTCTTCTTCTTCTTCTTCTTCTTCTTCTTCTTCTTCTTCTTCTTCTTCTTCTTCTTCTTCTTCTTCTTCTTCTTCTTCTTCTTCTTCTTCTTCTTCTCCTTCTTCATCTTCTTCTTCTTTTTTTTTCTACTACTACTACTTCTTTTCTTCTTCTCCTCACTTTCCTCCTCCTACTCATCTTTCATGTTTACAGAATGTAATCTCCTACGGAAAGTTTAAGTTGTTCACCCATTTCTGGATTTTAGTTTTCTAGAACTTGAGGTTTACGTGCATATTCATGTTATAAATCTGGCCTACTTGTATGCAGACTGTTGGTGCCTGTTAGACAGATGCGCTCCGACTTTGAAAAAACCCCACTCCTAATTAGTCTACTTTTACGACACGCTTGATAAGGTGTAGTCGGTCTCTTCTCCTCTTTCAACCCACACAGTGGGTACCCGGAACTCACACGGGGAAATATTTGAAAAAATAACTTCAATACTTAGGGGGTTGGGGGGGGGGGGGGGGGGTCACATCGGCTGTACGGTAAAACACATATCGCGATAAATATTTATCATGTCTGGCATTATTTTCTTGTTTCGTATTTTTTACTTCATAGAAGAGAAGCCACTTCTTTTTCTTACAGACACATTTTTGGCACCATCATTGCAGAGCGACGTGCTTAATTTTCACATTTGGCTTTTATTACTTTGAGTATCTGGCTACCGATTTTAACAGAATCTCGATTTAAAAAAAAAAAAAGTGAGAAAAGTTATATTTGTGTGTGTGTGTGTGTGTGACATTTTTACTTTCAGAAGGGTATAAATTGTGAGCTGTGGCATTTTGAGTATTATTATACAGTAAAACCTGGTTAACACACATTCACTAAAGATACACATTCTATTCAAATGAACACAATTTTGGTCCCAATATGATGTACGTTCAGTGCCGCAGTGTATTGGTCTGCGGCTAGCGTTATCTTTTTTTAACCCGAATTTTTGATTTTTTCGATGCTTTGGAATTTGTGCTAAAGAGGTTTTACTGTACATAGTTCAGTTGAGACGAGAAAGAGAATTAGAAAAGCTATGTAAATTTTATCTTGATATATGGAAACGAATCGTTGACAGTTCGTAGATTAGTGGAAAATTAGTTGGAAGCTGCAGATATGTCGTTTTAGACGGATGATGAGAATACCCTGGGCAGATTAAAAAGAGTAATGAGGGTATCTCTGAAAGAAACGGACTGACGAAAAGAACGGATCGCTCACGTCAGAAAGAGATAATCTACATTGTTTAGTCATGTGATGAGAAGGAGAAAACTAGAGTACATCGTGACAGTAGGAAAGCTGGAGGGGAGGAGATGCAGAGAGAGACAGAGAGAAAAGATGCTGGACAGTTTGACATCATCGTATGAAAGATCATCTGTGTCAAAGCTGATTGAAAGTACACGAGACAGACGATTGTGTATATTTCTTAAGATTACCCAGATAATTCATCCGAGGATACACACAGTAATGGCTTGATTAGAAAAAAATAAATTGAAATAATTTAAGGAGAAGCAGCAGCAGCAATAGTAGTAGCAGCAACAACATCGGTATTAGTGTAAAAGCAGCAGCATTAGTAGCAGCTACATTAGTAGTGTTTGCACTGTTTCTATTGGATCAGTAATAGCACCGAAGCAGTAAAAGTAGTACTAGTAGCAACAGAAGCAGCAACTGTAGCAGCAGTAATAATAGTAAAAAAAAAGCAGAAGTAGTGGTGGTGGTAGTAGGAGCAGCAGCTGTTGCAGGTTTTAGGTTTAGGTTTAGGTGACAGATCCACATCACGGCACAAGGGCAGCAACCCATAAGTTCCCCGTTCCACTTCCGACTCAAGTCTGGGTCCAAAGAATCCCAGCGCAGTGCACGAACTCCGTAGCACCGGCGAGGTTCCTAAAATACTTTGGGTATATTTTTTACTCAAATATTAAGCCCGGGCAGCACATTTAGGCTACTCTTTTTCAATTTCCAACCGCTAAGTGAATTTTTACGTGCGCAACAATACACACGGGGGCGTCCTGCCTTACTACCCAGAGACAAGGAAAAATTACTAGAATTCCACATGAAAAAAATCGAAGCCTTTACCAAGGAATGAATCCGGGACCTCCAGCACTTGAGGCTGACGCCATGCCTTGAGACCACGTAGCCCCCTTAGCTGTTGCAGCAGCACTAGTAGTAATAGTGTTTGCTGCTATTCCTGTTGTATCAGAAATAGTAATAGAAAAATAAGAAGTAGCGTCAGTAGTAAAGTCTTCCTTATAGAAGACAAAGGAGAGGAAAGCAGAGGAGAGTGAGAGGAGCAAAAGGAATTGTAAACGTTGAAACAAGGAGGAAAGAGGCGATGTAAGAGAAATGCCGACAGAAAAATAAGGCTATCTTTCGAGATAGCAGGCCGTGTCACCTTTCCTAGCAATGTTTGATAAGACAGCTAGAACAAAGTTATCAAGGGATTCTGTGAAATGACCAATTCGCGAGAAACAACACCTGTCCCACACCTGAAGCAGTGAAACCTGTCTCAAGTGTCTGGCTGCTACATCTTCCTCGCGTTAAAAAGTTCCAGCCAGTCATAATACAGTTAGTTTTCCCACAAGTTTTCCTTGTTGCTAGAATGCAACTAATTGCAAACATGTGTACGCTTCCGTAATTTTTTTTTAAACGTAGAATGCAAACATTTGTTTTCCGGGCCAGCGCACTGGTGTAATAGCATTTCTGCTGTAATTTAGACCGTATGTTAAATATTATATTTTTGTGTACAATGAAAAAATAGTTAACCTATTACTTTTGTGTATTTGTATTGTATTTTGGCGCGCACATGTATGTGTTGTTTTTATTTGCCTGTACACTTACACACAGATACAAATAATACGAATCACCATTATCAATTTTCTAATTTTACAGTTAAACGCCGTACGGAGAAATAGTTTTTGTCATGACACTCGGAAGGTACTGCAGGAATCAAATTCCCGCGGCCGTAGACACAGAGGTAAGGGAACTAATCGATCAGCATTCAGGCCCAGAAGATATCATCATCTACACAGATGGGTCCGTAGCGCAGATCAAGGTCAGCATAGACAAAGCAGCGCAAAAAAGGGTGAAAACACTAGAGGAAGACAGCGACGCTTACCAGACAACCACGTCAAGCATGACCATGGAAATAGCCGCTGCTGCTAGAACATTAGCATGGGTATCCGAGCAAACCGCCACACAGCTAGTTATTGTATCAGACTCCATGAACATGCTTCAGAAGATAGCAACATGGGTAGAAAGCATTCGAAAATCACACTTAACCACCTTCACTGGATCTACACACCGGGTCATGCGGGCGTAAAGGAAAATGAGCAAGCGGACAAGTTGGCAAGCATTGCACTCTGGCGTGTGGGAAGAAGCATGGATAGGGCAGATTTCGTTAACGCTGTAAGGAATGGGCTAGTAGATAATGATGAATCCCTGGCATTAACACGATTGTGTGACATGGGAGTGAAGCATGGTGAAGCACGTCTATGCCGTCTTCGAGGCCGAGATAGGAGTCAATATAACCAGTTTTTCAAGGGAATAGTTAGTAGAAGTACTTTAGAGTTGCTGCTGCATTGGAGGAATGAGCACGCATGGAAATGCCCAATGTGCAGTGACGTCGATTTTGAAAACATAGCATAGTTTGCCATTCATCGGCAGCACTGGCTGTTGTCGTTCCGCGTGGATGAAGATATTCTTTAAAGTTATCAATCCTCATTCAAATTAAGTGCCCTTTTGTTTATAAAACCAATTAGCGTATCACAATCTAGTGTTTTTTCTTCTTTCCGGTTTCAACCATTTCGGACTTTGCTTTGTGTCAAGACCTGAGTTTTGCGTGGGCATCCGTGTTACTGACTTATTTGTTTGCAGTTTGTTGTTCCTTGCCACTCGGGCAGATGCACTCCTACTTCGTAGGAAGTCTCCGATTAGTCGACTCCTACGACATGATTGTTGGGGAAGCAGTGGGTATATTCTTGTCTCTCCCCCCCCCCTCCCCCCACCACAATGGGGACCTGGGATCCCACATGGGAAACAACCTAGTGATTACCACTGTTCTGGGATTGTTTAAGGAGAGTAACCATCATCAGCCAGTCCTTTACTTCACAGAACGTCACTTTCATCACGGCATGCCTGAAAGTCTCTCTCTCTCTCCAGATCTCCAACCCTATGTGCTTTCATAGCCACTGCACCTTCAATGTCTTGTGTCTACGTTCGAGGAGTTCTGCCTCTGCATTGTTTTCTGGAAACTATACCCTCCATGACAGTTGTCTCCAGGCAACCTTGACTTTGAACATGAGCCAAATTACATCAACTTTCGGGACAGGATGCTTTTTATGAGCCAGTTCTTCTCGATGCTCAGATCATATAGAATTATTGGCGTTTTTCTTCTTCTTAGGCCATGGCATTCCATGAATGTTTACGTAGCATCTCAGTTCGAAAGCTCCAATTCTTTCTTCACTGACTGAGTAGAATAACATCCGTAAGTTGCCTGGGGAAAAGCTACGAGATCTCAAAATGTGTACTGTAACTCGTTGCCAGGTACTGTGCCATAGGGTCTTCAAGCTGTTTAGCCCCTGCATTGCTAAATTTTTTTTTTTGTTGTTTTTTATTTCTGGCTTCCTTTGTGCAGTCGCTATTGTTGATCACTACTGAGTTTAAATATTCAAATATGTGACATTTTCGATGTCTTCGTTGTCGATTTTAATATGCGAAATATGATCTTATGACGAGGCAAGACAAGCTGGAAAACGATAAACGCCTTTGCTGTTTGATTCTTCTACTTCTTCGCGTTCACCAGCTGTAAACTCCGGTGGAATGTTCTGATTATTCGTCCAGTTCTGTACTGCAGTCCTGTTCCAGAACCTGTGTTGCGTGAGTATCTATTTTACAGATTTGACTCATTTGTATACAGACTGCTGGTTCCTTGCCTCTCAGGCAGATGCACTCCGACTTCGAAGGAAACTTGCAATTAGTCGACTCTTACGACAAGCTTTTCTATAGGCAGTGGGTCTATTCATGTTTTCCTTAAAAAAAGGGCCCCGGAACCCACACGGGGAGCTGTTTGATTCAATGACGTACTTTAGAAAAAAAAAAAAAAAAACCAGACGTTCTTTAATTTTATTGCAGTATCCATATGAACAGTAGAACATGTTGTTCTGGAGCCCGCCTCATAAAATAAATTCCTCCTTGGCTTCGACACATCTCTCTGTAGTGATTTTATGGATCCTCATGCAAGACTCCTGCGACACGTCCTCGTCGTGCGCTTCGGATAATGGGCATCAACTTAAACCGAGCCGGCAGGTTCCTGTAACAATGGACACAACGTCTTGATTGCTCCTCTTGATTGACCAGCTTTCAGTTTCTGAACGCATTATTCTCTAGTATAAAATTACCCATTTTTGGGAATTAAAAAATGAACCTTCAGTTTGAATGTATTTTGGAATTGTTTTCCATAAATCCCAGGAAACGCAGAAACTACGATAGCAGAAACCTGGCGAGCTTTTCGTTAGTTCCAATTTGACTTAAGTGCTCATGAATTTCAGATAATGAAAACAGGTGGGAAATAAAGCCAGAGACAGGATGTTGGAGACGAGATTGCGGTGAGGGCTGTTTATTATGCTGTTACATCCGAGAGGAAATCCCAGAAATTGGCAATATTAAGTGTGCGTTTTCATTGTTACAATTACACTGAGAGAAATATAAACACGCAAACGCCGAGTGCTCGTTAGTTTTCAAGTATAATTGCATCAGTTTTTATTAGCAAATTCAAGAAGCAAGCATTGAATAAGTGCAGGCAGAAACGAGAGAAAGAATATTCTACAGCTCTGTTTGTTGATTCCTTGTGTTTCACTAATATAATTTATTGTAAACAAATCAAGATAAGAGTTGCGCATAAATCTTTTGTTACATGATCGTCAATCTTGCTCTTGAAATATGTTTCTTTATAGTGATTTTATTTCCATATTTAAGTTTTTGATGTTTTTAAGCGGAACCTGGGGTGTTGTTAGATGGAAACAGGCGATGCCTGCCATTCGTAAGCAGTAATTAACAGAAACGAGTTTTAAACGACGGTATGCATAACAGCACTTTGCGTTAAATACAGTTTATACAAATGGAAATAAACTGAAAACAATTATCTTATTACAAATAAAAAAAGAAAATTCACTGCTTTGGAGGCTGTCTCAAAGCTCAAGTTTTCTATGTAAATGTAATGGGCGATAGAAATGAATGTTTTTTCAGTGTTTCTATTTCCATAAACATTACTTTTCCAGACAGAATTGAAAACTAAATGGCGGAAAGGGAATAATTCAACTCAATCTATACCATACATTTAGCCGCAGCAACTCAAGAAAAACAATACATAATTAAAACAATCACAATGCTATCAACAAGCTAGATTATAAACCTCTCGTTAAATATATATATATATGTATAAATGAATATGCACACACAAACACGCATGTTGTGATGTGTTTTGAAATTGCTAGCCAGATTTCTCTAGTATGATCACACCAAACAGTATGTTGTTTTAAACACGAGAATAGTAGTTTACCATCTGTAGTTTCCATACAGTTTTCCGTCTTTCTAAAGCCCCACTCCGGCTGTTATCTGAGACTCTAATTTAACCTAAAGGTTTAACGGGTTTTCTGGAACTTGCACCCGGGTGATTCTCAACCAAATAATGGCACTTTTTGTCACCGGGTGTTTATGGTTCGTTGTGCGGTCCTGATGGGGTTGAACTTCATTCATTTACAGGAACAGTTGTTGACCCTTGTATTGATTGGGATATACACTATATGATGCATTATAATATATATTGATATATTTTCGTCTGTATAGTCAACCAGAAGTCTTCGAGATGACACAGCGCGTGTTGTCTGGTATATCAGAACAAGTCTTCATTTCACTTGGTGGCTTGTTTGAGATATAAAAGATACTCAGGTCGACCAAGCCTAAATTGGGTACCAGGATGACTGTCCTGGGAAAGTAAAGACAGCTGACGTAATGCTGACTACATTACCCATCCAGTGCCGATTGGTCTGTACAAATATGGGACGCTCTTCCCATATACCTGATGCGCCTAAAGCGTGAAAAGGGATCTTTACATATTTTTTTTTTTTACTTTACTTCTGGATGCTGAATGAAATCTTGATGCGTTGCTCACTTCAACTCTTAAGTGTACACGGAAAAAATACTACTAAAAAATTACCAAATGGTTTTGTAGTTATTGCTACTGGACCCCCTTAGACTTGAGTTTTCCATCCTTATACAATTAGTGATAATTTGAATTCATTTATCTTCTTCTTCTGGCAGCCGTTCCTCACACTTCTGGATGCTGAATGAAATCTTGATGAGTCACCTACTTGAACTCTTAACTGTATTTGGGAAAATACTACTAAGATATCACTAAATTGTTTCGTTGTCGTTGTTGCTGGATCCCTCAGAATTGCTTGAGTTTTCGATCTTTATACAATTGGTGATAATTTGAATTCATTTATCTTCTTTTTCTGTTCTTTTTTTTTTTTTTTTTTAGCGTTCTCTCTGCTTGTGGTTTCAGATGAGAATACTGCATGCCTCTGTGAAGGCCGGGGTGGGTGTGTGTTCATCACTGATGCATTCAGTACTTGAATTTCACGGTGGAGTTGCCGTAGGGTCGAGTCTTTTACAGGTTGTCATGCTCATGATTACCCCTCTTCCCCCCCCCCCCCCCCCCCCCACCTTGTCTGAACCCCCCTAGAAAAAAGTGGTTAATACAGAAAGTAGGGACAAACAATTGCATGGTAGCGTAGTTTTCAGATTCGGCTGTGGCATTTAAATATTTGCGTACTTCTTTGCTAGCGGGAACTTAATTAGTCTACGGTTGACCCAGATCTATCCACCGGACAATGGAGATTTGTGATTAGATTTAAATCTCCGATGTAGATAGCAGTCCCTAGCACTTTCATTTAAATAGATAAACAGCAAATGAAAAATATACTCGCTGACTCCCCAATCTGTGAATGTCTTCTTGCTCGCTGGGGCTTCTATTCTGGTTAGATCTATAAGCAATTGTCGCGCGTGTTCATGCCCATGCGTTTAGACAACCGCCACCCGACCCTGGCACTTCAATGGTCCATCATACATCATGATAGTTGTTCTTCATGCAATTTGAAACTGGCAGGCCGGCTATATACAATGTAGATCTGGCCACTGAACGAGCTGCTCAGGAAATCACGACAAGTATAACATCTGTCACTTTAAACTAATGACAACATTTTATATTCTATGCTTTTACGTCTATTGTCTAACTTTACAAGTCTGAGTGAGTGACACAGAGTGCCACCATTCGGGTGAGAATCCTCTAGGCACAAGTCCGGGAAACCTTGTTCAACAGGTTAGGTTCTGTTAGGGCCCCCGACGATAACTTTGATGTGGCTTTTAAAAAATCACAAATTGCCCTTTACAGTGGGAGGCTTTTGTAATGTAATTAATAGATCTGGCTGTCGATGCCGGTTCTTGTCTAATATTCTTATAAATAAAAATATGTAGCTGTTATACATATAAACATATGCAGACTCCACGAGAACACTGACAAAAGCAGTTTCAATTCTTTTCTAACGGGAAGAAAACCTTAAACAAACTAATGCAAAATAAATCTCACCCTTCTTCTTTTTTAAATTATTCGTTTCCTCTTTCTCTCTCTTTCTTTTTCTTTTTCGAATTCATTTTCTCGGATATCAATGTTCTAGAAATGCCTACATATCATTTACAATTTTTTATGATGTGTAACTGAGGGCCATTGGATAATTCCAAATAAGTTTGTATGGACGCTTCCCCTTGTATGTGGATGTTAAGTACGCGCGTCATACGATGACTATCAATCTATGCAACTATGTGACTATATGATGATTGGCATCTTTTCGTCTTTCCAGATGTTAGTGTTATATTAGGCTATGAAGAGTCACGGGACTAACAGCCCGTAGCGATGGCGAGTGTGACTAGCAAGACCCGCCCGTGTCAAGAAAATTCTTCCACAATGATAGCATGGGATTTCAGGACCATTGTTGTCAACATTCGTGTTAAATCCGTTTCTTCTCAGACGCTCAGCTCTCGTCTTTTCTGCAATCATTTCTTCCTTCACTCTCTTTTCCTTCCGGATATGCCCTCTCCCCACAACACGGTCCATGGCATTTTGTTCCCATGAGTCCACCTAAATACATGTATCATTCATGTTCCGCTTGCACACATCTTTACACCGTTGTAGAGGTCAGTCTTCGTAGACTGAACATTAAGAAGACTGTTGTAGTACCTGCTCTTTCCAGTACCTCAGTGTTTGTGATTTTGTCCTGCCACTAAATGCCAAGTATTATTCTTAGGCATGGCATCAGAAAGTTATTTAGCTCTCTCTCCTGGTGCGAAAAAGTTGATCAAGTTGCACTGCCCTAAAGCAGAGTGCTAAGAACACAAGCCTGAAAGCAAGAGTTTTTGTTTTAACTGTGAGAAGCTGATCCTCTCCATAGCACAAAGCCTGGACAGTATTGTGGAGACCATATGTTGCCCATGCATCATGATTCCTTACTCGACCAGCCTTGTTTACTCCAAAGGAAAGGTAACACCAGTACATTTGAAACAAAGCATGTTACAGAAGCTGCCGGATCAGGAGATCAGTGCTCTATCTGTCCGCCTGTCGAAGCTTCGATCCTAGACCAGCTGCCAGCCAAGGCTAAGAGCCTGGTCTGCCCTGCCCTAACATAGTTTTCAGGTTGCATTTCCTCTTCCTAGGACAAGGCTAGCATCCTCCCCAATGCGCTCCTCTGCACGAAGCCGTTGGCACAATATGGCATATCAGGTTTGGTATTCGCCGCCCAACATTCGGTGTAACAGAAAATAGGTCGTACCGGCTACTGTTTTACGGTAGTTCAGTCATATCTGACCAAGACCTGACCTTTATGTGACTATAACACTACCATTTAATTCCACAAACGCATCTGAAAGTATCTTCTGCGTGTTCAACCCCAGAACTCCCTCTTTTTCAGTGCAGTCCTTTTGTGAAAGTCAAGAGCACATGTATCGTCAACTCTGGGCCCATGCTTTAATTAGGCAAAAATGATTCGAATGGACAAAAGAAGCAAGGTACAACAACATACAATGAAGCTACGGCCCCAGTGTTCATACAGTGACATTCGTCGATGTAGGAGGGCGTCTGACAGTCAAAAGTCTCCTGTTGTGCTCGCTCTCTCTTGAAGTTTTTACTATTTATGGTGCCACACGAGACTGCATCTTCTCGCAATGTCTCTTGATATCACCCACAGCTTGCTACCGGCTGCACTCCTAACCTATATCTTTGCAGAGTTGAGGGGCTGAAGTATGGCGTCCGTCTCAAGTGCTGAAGGTCCCAGGTTCAAGCTTGGATTTTTTCACGTGGACTTCTAGTAATTTTCCATGGACTCTGGGTAGTAAGATCAGACGCCAGTATGTATTCTTGCGCCTTGGCAGTTGGAAATCGAAAAGAGTAGCCTAACGGCTAAAAAAAAAAAAACTTTCTAAAGTATTTCAGGATCCTCGCTGGTGCAACAGAGTTCGTGCTCTGCGCTGAGGTGTTCAGACTCAGGCTTGAGTTAAAAGTAGAACAGTACACTTATGGGTAACACCCGTGTGCCATGATTTTGATCCGTCGAATAAACAAAAACAAATATTTGCAAAGTTGACAGGATAAAATGTCTGTTCTTCTTCTTAGTTTTCACCGACTGTAAACTTCTGGGGAACGTTCTAGTTAATTCTAAGCTTTTGTCATGTTCCATAACGTGCGTTTTGAATGTACATTGGTTTTACATACCTGACTTGATTGTTTGCAAACTGTTGGATCCTCGCCTCTCAGACAGATGCTCTCCGACTTCGAAGGAGACACCCCTAATTAATCGTCTTTTACAACGTGCGTGTCAGGGGCTGTGGCTCTATTCTTTCCCCTGCTTAAAATGAGACCTCGGATGCCAGTGTTAATGTTGCAATGAATCTGAAGGGCAGATATCCTTCTGACAGACAGATAACAGATGTAACATATCCCGCAATATCTTCTTCTTCTGTGTTCGTTTGATTTTTGATTTAGAAGGAATTACCTTACGTCTGCATACAGCATAAACAACAACGTGAAGGAAAGTAAGTTTTCAAGCGTTTAAGGGGTAATATAAAATTTGATGAGTTGGGTGGAGTTAAGAACTTTCAAAACAGCACTCAGAAATTTCCATAAGCATTCCGTCACCAACTTCACCAATCAGTTTATAGCACCAGCAGTCAATTTAACATTTGTCTGTCTTCACTTTCCTCTGCGTGTAATGTGTCGACCAGATCCCCTAGTCAATCGAGACACCGATGATCTTATTCGCACTTCAGCACTTGCTCCAACAGGTCACTGACCACATCCTGCTTAGCATACATTAATTCACCGCAGCCAATATGTTTGCATGTTCATTTCTCAACACACCTGAGAAATGAATCACACATTAAACTACCTACCCACGACCTCCGAAACAATACTTGCCACTCTGCACAAAGCATTCCTTTTTCTACATTTCTCAGGTAGGTAGGTAGGTTATTCTTGTAGAATCTGCCACAATCACAGAGTGTATATGCAACTGGTTCTCAAATTTAATGCTGCTGTGTTTGCCTCCACCGCCATTCTCTAACAAGATGCTAGAAGTCCATTCGCTTATAATGTCTTGAAGTTAATAAATTTAAACGTTGTTTTTTTTCAAAACCAGGCAAACCAACTTCAGTACTGATCGTCCTACGGGGGTTTGCTAGTAATTTCACGTATAGTCGTTTGCCGTTGCTTTATTTATGAACGGCACAGTGCACATTACTTACGGATTTTGGAGTCCACGAACAAGACCTCTTTCGACTGGAACAAATGAACTTCTGCATACACTTGCCGAACTTCTTTAGACACCGGAAGTCGCTCTGCGAGCATGCCGGACACGTGGGCTCGTCTATAAGGGTGCACGCTTGGCAGGAGGTGTGCTGGCATTTTCCTTGACAGTCCACTATTGTATCTGCGACATCACTGAAATATAATACATTCAATAATATTGAACATTTGCGGGTTCTGGCTTTTCATTTGGGGAAGAAAAAGGGCGGGGGGGGGGGGAGGAATTAAAGGCACATAAGCTTTTCGTAAACAAGAGAGTAATTAAGGTGCGTGTTTAAATCAGATGTATGGGACTGGAAGGTAAAGATGTCACAGACTAGCTGTAAACCAAAACACAACATGGCAACTTTCTTTTCAATGGTTAAAGCAGAAGCAGCAGAAGAAATATTAACTATTCAAAGACAGCAATGCTCTAAGTTAGATCTCTGGTGTAGCGATTAGAAATTAACTTTAGGCCCGACATTTGTAAGTTCAAATCCGCATTAAGCTGAAAAGACCTTGGCTCCCAGGTCGATCTAGCCTAACAGAATATACCAGGTAGAGTTCTGGGAAGTAAAGGCAGCGGATATGGTGTTGATCGAGCGCAGATTGGTCTATAAAATACGGGTCTTGTATTACATACCCAGCACGGACGAAGGCATGGAGAAGGGATCATTCAGATCATAGAAAATGGCAGAAAATAAGTCGCAAAAAACCTCCAGAGTTCTCAGCCAACTTTTCTGGGAAATCGACAACATATCAGTGTACTTGTGTACTCAACATCTTCAAACATTTTGACGTTGCTTGTTGTTCAGTCAGTGCTAAATTCAACATAAGAAAGCTACATTACGACACGAAACAAGTCAGGCGTTTGGAAAGGAGAAATAAACCGAGAGAAGTATCACCAAGTTATATTGTTCAGTTACTCTGTTGTTATTCTTTGTTTAAAGACACGTTTTTTCCTTTCTCTTCGCTGAGCTTACTGGTCATAGTTACTTCTGAAAGGTGTGACAAGCGTGTTTACTACCGCTGAGACTCTTGAAAGCGTGTACTTATTTAAAATGTAATTCATCAAATATGGCGGCTTCCGTGGCTTAAACGTTGCCAGTCCGACTCATAATTCCAACGTACCGCGATCGACACCCACAGCTGGCTGTGTGCATTTTTTTTATTAAGATATGGCGTGTCGCAGGTCGACCCAGCCTAAAATAGGTACCAGTATGGCTGTCCTGGGGAAGTAAAGACGGCCGGCGTGAAGCTGACCATATTGCCCACCTAGTGCCTATGGTCTGTAAAAATATGGCGCTCTTCTCATAAGCCAGATGCGCCTAAAGGCGTGAAAAGGGATCTTTACTTGTAATCAATTATGGGTGTAACTCTTGTGTTTGTGGGTATTGTCGTACTGGGAAAAGGAGAAGCTACAAACAAACTACACACAAAACAGACATGCATATAACTATCATTATCAGCTGTAGAAACACGGGACAAAACCAGCCCACAGATTCGAATAACTCAGTGATGATGATGATGATGTATTCAGTTTATTGAAATTTAACGCCCAGCTCTCTAGCGTAGTTAGTTAAACCTGACTTTCGCGGTGACCGGGTGACGAACTCCTTGTGGTCCGGGTTCACTCCCAGGGGTAGGCAGAAAAGCCACATTTCTCCCAGATTAATGGTAGCTATAATGGAATCAAGGCCGAAGGGGTGCGATATCCATAGTACCGAGCCAAAGGGTTTGCAACTCATGGTTTATGGATACGTTAAAAAAAAAAGGAAATTTGACAGCGAAAGAAAAATAGGATGCATACAAGATATGACCGGAATTTCAGTTGGTGGGCATAACGTGAGCACCCTACGATTTTGTTATGATGTAGTTTTGATAGCTGGAACTCTGGGCCCCAGCGCCGCTGGTCGACCGTGCATGTGACAGAAGACGATGGACAGACGTGGTCAGACTCTTGATGTTTTGAACAACGGATGTTTGTTTGTTTGTTTTAGTATCCAGAAGCAATGAGTTGTTAACCGATAGGCTCGGTATTATGGATATCGCAACCTTTCGGCCTTGATTCCATTGTGAATACCGTAAATCTTGAAGAAATGTGGCTTCTCTGCCTACCACCTGGAGTGAACCCGGACCACAAGGAGTTATCACCCGGTCACCACGCAATCTGGTTTAGCCAACTACGCTAGAGAGCCGGGCAGAACAACGGATCAACATCATGGCACACGGATGTAATCCATAAGTGATGCGTTCTTCTTCTAACTTAAGTCTGAGTCCAAAGAAGCTCAGCACAGTGCACAGGCTCTGGAGCACCGGCGAGGATCCTGAAATACTTTGAGTAGATTTTAAACCAAATTTTGCCCGGGCAGCGCCGTTAGGATTTTTTTACGTGCGCAAAAATGCACACGGGCGTCCGATCTCCCTACCCATAGACCAGGGGAAATTACTAGAAGTCCAAGTCCAGGTGAAAAAAATTCCGCATATTGAACTCGGAACCTCTAGCTCTTGAGGCAGACACCTTACCTCGAGACCACGCATTGACCATTGTATTAGAAACGACACTTTGAGCTTAACGATACAGCGACTCGTATCCGATACAAATTAGTCCCTATTCATAGATACATATTGGAGGATGTGAGCAGTACGGAAGTAGCAAACGAAGAGGGGATCACACGTTGAACAATGAAACTTGCCAGACTTTTAATCACGAACGGTATTTTTCCTGGCGGCTCTTGGTAATAATCCCACTTGGCACATTTTCTGACGTCGACTGGAGAACTATGAAAACCCAAATCAGTCTCGTAAAATCTCAAAGATGATGGGCAGTGTACAGGTTTAAATGGTGGTCTGTCAAACAGGTTGTCGCTCAAGTGCCTCTTGATAGTTTTTTGAATGGACGCTAAGCGCTGATGTAGGCACTGAACCGGAAATAAGTTTTTTTTTTCACTAGTACATTATAATCGGATTTAGTATTTGATTCTTTGACAATGTTTTTTTTTTTTTACGTCGCCGAAGACACATACGGCCTTTACAAGCGATCTCAAGTGCTGCCATTCTGCTGTTTTTCTGCCCAAGGTAACTGACTGTCATTTTGTATTTCTTCATTTCCCTTACTACTGTCCTTCTGTAGGTTTCCTCCCATCGACGTCGCATCATCACCCCCCCCCCGCCCCCCACCCCCACCCTTGCCAGTTTCCATATCTGCCGTCAATAAGAAAGCTATCCTTGTCAAAAGGTCAGTAGGAATTCTGAAAATATGTAGAAGTCATCTCCATCTTTTTCCATTGAAATAATTTGTCAGTGATGAAAGGAGCCACGACAGCATAGTGTCTAGATACTTGCCTGCTTACAGACAGACAGACAGACAGACAGACAGACAGACAGACAGACAGACAGACAGACAGACAGACAGACAGACAGACAGACAGACAGACAGACAGACAGACAGACAGACAGACAGACAGACAGACAGACAGACAGACAGACAGACAGACAGACAGACAGACAGACAGACAGACAGACAGACGACAGACAGACAGACAGACAGACAGACAGGCAGGACAGACAGACAGACAGACAGACAGACAGACAGACAGACAGACAGACAGACAGACAGACAGACAGACAGACAGACAGACAGACAGACAGACAGACAGACAGACAGACAGACAGACAGACAATGTGCTGAGCGACAAGTAAATTTAACACATTTGAAATAATGTGATCTGTATTGAGAAATTCTTACAAAATGTATGAATAACTACTTCTTCTTAAAGTCCATGCCGTGTGGCGTTGGTAGTCATGTCTATACACAACCTTCTGCCTCGTGTACTTTCAGTCAACTCTGACACAGATGATCTTCCATAGTCCATGCCGTGTGGCGTTGGTAGTCATGTCTATCGACAACCTTCTGCCTCGTATACTTTCAGTCAACTCTGACACAGATGATCTTCCATAGTCCATGCCGTGTGGCGTTGGTAGTCATGTCTATCCACAACCTTCTGCCTCGTGTACTTTCAGTCAACTCTGACACAGATGATCTTCCATAGTCCATGCCGTGTGGCGTTGGTAGTCATGTCTATCCACAACCTTCTGCCTCGTGTACTTTTAGTCAACTCTGACACAGATGATCTTCCATAGTCCATGCCGTGTGGCGTTGGTATTCATGTCTATCCACAACCTTCTGCCTCGTATACTTTCAGTCAACTCTGACACAGATGATCTTCCATAGTCCATGCCGTGTGGCGTTGGTAGTCATGTCTATCCACAACTTTCTGTTTTCCCCTTCTCATGACATGACCAACGAATGTAGATTTTCTCCTTCTGATGGGGACAATCAGTTCTCATCTTTAGTCAGTTTCTTGCAATTGCTCTTTTTATCTGTCACGGGTATTCTCATCATTTGTCTATAAATGTTCATCTCCACAGTTTCCATATAATTTCTCATTATTTCTCGTCTGTCTCCGCAGAAAGGCTGGCCACCTGCCATGAGCGTGGCACAAATCACCGAATCCGTAGCTCCAGTAACAATCACTAAAGTTCTCGGTAGACATTTCACTCGTGAACCGAACCGAACGCAGCTGTGAAATGAACCCACGATCTCCGCATTGCAAGGCAAAGAGCTTGACCATTTGGCCACAGATCATCCAGTACCACTATTCAAAAGATTCCGATTCCGATTCCTTTTGAGAAAAAAATTAAATGTTCGACCACTTTCAGACTGCTGCTAGCTAGCCGAGGCTGCTAACATTCTCCGCCTATATTTGTGGTCTGGGTTATTTGCGTCACTTTCGTGACTAAAGTTTTAGTATTTACGCCGTATCTGGGCTTGATGCTTCCTTCCTTCGAGTCAGACCACTTGTTCTCTACCCTGTTGTTAGCTGTGTACTTTTGGCCTTTTCCTTCCAGGTGTTTCCTTCTTGGTTTCAGCTCCCTCTGATTTGGCCAGGCGTATTTCGTAGGAGAGCGAGCTTCTATACATAACGTCCTTTGGACCACCATTTATAGTTTTAAATTTTGAGTATTTTAATTTGCCTTAAAGTACTGAAAACAGTTTTTGGTTTTGGATAGATCAGAAATGTGAAAGTATTCCGCGTGTGACCGTAGTGGTCTTATGGTTGTCTTCCTGTAATAAGAACGTGTTAGTCATGTCG